CCTGTCCAAGGCACTAGGGGCTCAGTTTTCCTCACCCCCGCCAAACCCGGAGGATTGGAAAACCCCCCTTAACCTCCCTGGGGCCTCTCGCCAAGCCGAGAGCCCTTGGCCAGGTTTGTGTTTGTGGGCAAAAACTTGGCACAAAGACTTCCTTCCACGCCCCCCTTTTCCTGCGCGCGAGCGCGAGTTCAAGTGTTGTGGAAAACGGTGATTGCGAAACACTCGGACAAACGGGGTTAAACTCTTTGAGGGAAGCTTTAAGTCAGCTAGCACCGCCATGCCCTCATTGATGTAAATACGGGCGGTTTTAGCAGCTCGCCAACGCCCGGAAATCAAAAGCTTATCAAGGGACCCATGTTTGGCGAACCAAAATGTCTGAACTCAAAAAGCGAAATTTCCAAGGATGCATGTCTTAAAAAGTGTCCTCCAAGTAGACACTGAGTTGACAAACTTCGCTGCAGCCGCGGTCTGTGACTTCCACTGCCACAGCCACTTTAGAGCAACATCCACCGTGATGGTGATGGATTCTGCTCACCTATCCGTTTCCCTCCTTTCGTGAGGCCTAAACTCATTACAGCAGGAGAGCCAGCCGACTTCATAAAAATGTGGCTGTTCCGAACTTCTGTCACTTCACCTGTGCGCAGCATGCCGTAAAAAGCTAGCAGGAGTGAAACGCCAAAGCCGCCAAAGCCATAATGGCCCTGAAAAAAGCTCCAGCCGACCATCGCATGAACTGCTGTCTCAGTAAGGGGCGGTGCCCTGTTCGGAAAATGAATGGCGCGCCATGTCTTTGACAACCCCCACGTAGAGGCAAGTTGCCCCTTGAGCTTCGGATCGGCGTCCTGTAGTCCCGCGACAGTATCCAAGGCCAAGCCCCGGCCCTTGCCTTCTGCCCAGAGAAATTCTATGTATGCGCTCAGGAGCCCATCCAGGCGCTCCCGCTTACGTGGCAGGCTAAGATGATTGCCTTGCTTGCTTGCTGTGACCCTCTAAAAATACACGGCCTACCTTCCCCATTTCTTTCTCACCGGCCTTCGGCTGGGCCGGTCAGCTGGGTTCTGTGATGTATGAATGTACCCCCAAAGGGGGCGAAGGTCTCCTGCAACCATCAAGGCATTCAATCTCATAATAACGGGTCGCAATTTCTTGCTTGAACTGCGTCCTCTTGTCAGAGCATGCATGCATACCATGCTGTCTGTAAGATGTAGAAACCTGACGCTCCAGCGTCTGGAACAAGAGATCTTCCACTTGATGCCCGTGAAGATGGCTCTGAGTTCCAGGAGATCGATGTGATCTCCGGGCGCTTCCACTTCCATCCAGAAATGTCGCGCCATCGCCATAGATGTCCAGGTACACTCGCGCGCAGTCTGAAATACTTCGGTGCTGGGTCAGTTCCTGTACGTACCATGAGATCCTCCCTTTCATCGAGGAGAACCCAAAACACTTGCGAACCAGCCGCACGGACGACTCGGGATCAAGGCGACCCTGGTGAGGTGGTCTCAACAACATCGAGCAAAAATCTCTGGCCCGTCCTGGAGTCGTGGCATTGATGATATCCTGCACGTCAGTGAGGCCACCTAGTCCCAGGGACTAGGCAAGTTGGCCAATGAGCCAGCTCACAACGCCCACATGCCAGCTATTCCCAATCATGCTCATCCGGATGTCTTCATAGTTTTCTCCCTTTTGCTCCATCTTGGGCACACACTGTCGGGTATAGTCAATGGGGAAGCCCATCAAGGCTTCTTGTTCTTGCACTGCAGGCCGACGACGCTCACCCTGGCGATTCCACAGGACATAGTCATCTCTATACTGATAAGGAACCGATGACGATCGGCCTCCCATCGAGCCATTTCGTGCGCTTGCACTGACGTAGTCCTGCGGGTCGTCGCCCGGGAGTTGACCTGGGGCGGGACGTCGTCAACGTAGGTAAGTGGCAGCCTGGTCGGAGGGCCCATCCCGGCAACAGGAGAGCCTTCGCATCAACGTCTCCAAACACTTGCATTGTTTGACAAGCATCCCAAGCCTCACCAGAGCTCTCGCCTTTTTGGACCCCGGTCCCTTCGGAGAGCTCCCATGTAACACAGTATAACCGTGGTCGGGCACGCAGACTCATTCCTTTGGCATCAATCCGAAAGGGAGTACGTCCAAACTCTCGACTCATGATCTCTCGGTCTGCAATACTCATCAAGGCCACATTCTCTATGAGTTCATGCACCTGAGGTCAGGGGAAGGCCTGTCGGAACAGCTGAGTGATCCTAGGTACTTCATGGAATAGGCAACTTCTCTCATCCCTATAGTGCACCTTTGCGGTCAGCGTTCAACCCACTGACCCTTTGGCAGGGGGGGCCGGCCCCCACCAACACTAGGCCCACATTACTGTACTGAAGCGCCAAAGCCTGTACCTGCTCCATCCCGAAGGCCGACAAATCGTCATGGAACTCAGTCTCAGGGAAAAAGCTCTCAACGACCCTGCGGCATTTGGGATCCATTTCAACGCTTACATGTCCAGCCATGGGCAGTCCAACAACGTCACAGGCCACCCGCAGGGCTCCAATGCCATCAAAGAGCCCCACGCTTAGCACTTGTACCAGGTCGTGCTCCTCCACGAGGTCAGTTGGCCGCAGCCACTCCGTAGGACGTGAGCCCCACAGAGGCACAGAGTCCCCCGCCTGTGGTCGAAGCATCCGATGCCGTCACCTCTCCATCCACTGGCACTCTAAAGTCAATCTTCACCTGGTAGGGCAATGGCAATCGTACGACCGGCGCTTCGCCCTCAAAGCTCTTCATGTGTTCAAAGACACCATTCAAGCTAGAAAGGGGGCGTTGAAACATGGCAACGTACACAAATCCCCCACATACAACCTGAAGCTCCCGAAGAGTCGACTGACGCCTGACCAGGAGTTCAAATCCCAGTTTGCAGTATTGGATCAGTTTCTGAGGTTTTGGCATGGCATACCCCTGCTCACCGTCAATCAAGGCCCCTTGCATCTCACCTTGCGTCACTCGCTCAGCGGCCTTCTTGGGGTGCCGCGGAAGGCCGAACTCCTCATAGCACCTCCTAAGCTGCTCTACCTGTGGTGTGATGGTCCCCTTGATCTCTCCCGCCAGGGCTGCATCCACTCGCTCAAGAGCATAGAAGTTATCCAAATACACCCTGTAAAGGTTGGGAGCTGACGACATGGGCCTATCCTTCCTCAACTCTCCTTTAGCACCCACATGGTCGTCACCTGACATTGAACTCCAACGCACCACGTTGCGGTGAACGTGTTGAGCAACGCTGACCGAGTTCAGGAAGCCCATGGGCAACACCCGGGAGACTAGCACACAAGGTCTCCCGATCAGCTCACTAGGAACCAAGCTGTCCGGTACCTGTTGTTAAACCCCATGTAAGGCTTCCACTGCTCTGGAATGGCGAAAAGATAAAAGAAACAGCATATGTCCTCACTGGACAGCAGCGCCACCTCCCCTTGTTCCAGGAGGTATCCATTCATCCCTGAAATGGCCGGGCGAGGCCCAACGTCTCCCGTCAGACTCTTGCAGAGGGAGTTGACCGGGACCAAATTCATGATCAATCGTTGAGTCTCCAGATTGCCCTTGAATTCCCCCTGCCTACCAGAGAACATCCCGTTGAGCAATGGAGACCTGTCAATATGGTGCAGACGATCAATTGGCCAAATCTCGCAAACTCCTTTGCTAACCAATCCAGCACAGATATCGGGCCACTCCGAATCACTGCGCATGACTCGGGGAGGCTTGGGCCTTACTTGAATATCCTTGGGGACAAAATATCGTTCAAAGTTGTTCACGTACTCCAAGGGCAGCCTCAGCAGGTGGATGAGTTGGACCTCCGGGTCGCTCTCCACCACTTCTTCCAGGAGCTTCCGCCCCCGGCTGTCCAGGAGGAACCTCTCCTCCTGCTGCTGCTCCCGGACGCCCAGGAGCTTCGGCCTGAAGCCGATTAGGCCCCCTCGAGGATCTGGGTGTAGGCCCCGTGTAAAATCGGAGTCGCTCTGGCCCTCAACTGCGGTGTAGAGCCCTCGTGGAACAGCAGCAGGAACAATCGCTGAACCACCGAGCAACACGGACAGGTGCAACTGTCCACGATATGGCTCGGTCGACAGCCTCCCAATGCCAAGGAGGCCATCAACAACCCTTAAGCCACAACACTGCGGTTAAAAGTGTTGGGTCTGTCGTTTTTACGTACGAAGCGAAACCCATGGTACCCCCCTTCCAATACCCACCCAATGTGTGTGTGAGTGTGTGTGCGTGTGTTCACTGTAAATTGCAGTGTTTTTGTTATATTTTGGGATCGTTTGTTTAAGTTATATGTTGTGACCTTTTTCCAAATGGTTGTTTTGCAAACTCTCCATATGGGGGTAGCATAC